ACACACACACACACACACACACACACACACACACACACACACACACAATTACCCAGTGTGGGAGCGGAGAACCTCCTTTCACTTCAACGCACCCTTCAGTGCAAAGCAAAGCCACGGTTCTGTAGAGCTCTCCTACTTCATCACGCCACGCTCTGTTCTAATCCTTCTCTTCGTTCCGTGCTCCTCTGTTCCACGGTATTCATTCTGAGGGAGACGAGATGGAACCCAAGTTGAGGAAATTGTTAATTCATCGTGCCGAGCTGCTCTATTCTAATGAAATGGATGCATGTTCTACTCTGGCCCATGCTATTTTTCATTCCCATCATGTTCTCTTTTACTCTCTTAACAAAGGTTTAACATACTAACGGCTCTCTGGGCTGGATCCTTGTTGGTGCGGTGATGAAGTGTGGAGCAGTACGGCCGTTAAAGATGCATGAAACGCCACCAATGTTAACACAAATCTCTTGTTTCCTGCAACGCTGGGAAACGATTCCGTCTCGATGCAAATAGTAACTCAAACTCTGTGTATGTGTATACTAAACATGAAGAGAGGGTCTCCTTTGGGCCGCTTCTGTACTCAACTCCATTCCAACTAAATGAAATATAGTGACGAGTAGTAACATGACAACATGACGTATTAAAGCTAAAATACCACTCTACAGTCTACAGAGGTCATTTCTTTCTAAATTCTGGGGTATCTCATCTGTTCTGTTATTTGATTATCAAGTCTGGAACTAATGCAGAAAAGTCTTTCCTCATCACAGCACAGTTGCAACATCCTTCCTGGAACAAAGCGAGCCAAGTGGTGCTTAAATCAACGAGACATAAAACAGTGACAGCGCGCTGAGAGATTCTGCACAAGAGCGGCCAACAACAGCAGCAGCAGCTCGTGGGTTCACAAACTACAGTGTGTGTGTGTGTGTGTGTGTGTCTCATTGAGAAGAAGATAATACAATGATGTAACTTGGATTCAGACTATCAGATTGGGTTATTTTCTGTGCCACTCGCGACCACTCATCAACCACGCACAGGTTGATGTCAGCAGGACGAGTGGACGGTGGGGGACATGTGTGTGTCCTGTGTGTGTGTGTGCGTCGAGGAGGGCAGATGGTCTTCAGCAGGTCATTAATACCAACTCCACCCTCCTGCAGTGACCTGGACCACTTAACCCCCTTCATACTAAAACCTGTTGTGAGACCGATGAGGGGAGACGGTGCAGCTTCACCCTCAGAGAGACGGTGGGAACTCGTTGTACGAGTAACCCTTCAGCGAGAGAAACCGTTTACAGAGGAACTTATATAAGAAGAAAAAATGAGACGGGACTTAGTCACTGAGTGCATTTGATTATGGATCAACGCATTATGTAAATCTGCATGTTTAAGACTTTAAAAGCCGAGGTTGAGGTCATGTTGAGCTTCAGAGGCAACTTTAAAGAATAAGCACCATGACAATCTACTGATGAACTAAAGGCTGCACTCTAAAAGATATAATATGTATAACATAACAGCTTATTTGTGCATTGGCGTTGACTTTATATCCAGTTTAAGCCAAATTCTATGATACACTGTTTTTTTTGATCTTGGACTTTTTTAACCAGATGAAAGATTTTAGTCATGGACGTCTGGATCTTAAGTTATCAGAGAAACAAACAGAGCGAACGTTAGCAGCAGCTTCGGCTCATGTTTTTAACGGTTCTGTTTTAAGGAGGAGGAGACCTCTGAACAATGACAAAATGAATCCTAACCAGGAAAAGCTGCCTACACTGATGTCAATAGTGGCGAAGACAACAACTCCCATGATCCCACGCTATTTCACAATGTCATCAAGCTCTGTCTTTTGTTCTGGCTTAGAATGAGAGACCCCCCCAGAGACAGAACATTACCTACTGTGAGTTTACCACCAACACTGGACGCTACAGCCAGCTGGCTTGTCGATGTGTATCTGCATTCTGAGCCAGACAGCATTACTAGTACGTACAAAGCAAACAAAACAGATCTGCAAACCGCTTTCACACCACTGTGAATCAAATGAAACGCTTTCGTCATATGTTGATTACAAATAAAAAAATATGTCCCACAACAAAACTGCAACTGGCAGTGCAGACCGGTGCTGTGATTTGCACGCGCGTTCTCAGTCCATGGCATTTTGCTTGTGGAAGAAGAAAAACAAGGAACAAAATAAATGAAGTCAGTTATTCTAGACCGGGAGCATCCAACCCGTTTTTCCCCCTCCGAGAGGAAATGAAAGTGGCCGAGAGCGACTCGTAGCACAACGTCGTACATCAGCAACAGCAGCTTCTATGGTCCTTTCTAAGGATTTTTAGTCACCGCAGTCTCACTCTACTACAATCTCGCCACTGACGTCCGTTTGGTAAACAGTCGTCTTTTGAGCTCCTTTACCGTCACTGTTCTTAGACCGCTACCAGCCGGGAAGCCCCATGAAAAGTGGCTGTGGACTCGGTTCAATTGACATAATGTGGTGTCAGAAGGGGGCGGGATGTATGTGAATCTGATTGGACAGAAACAGGTTTACCGAGTGACTTTGTGTTATCACATGTACGTACATATTCTTTGGACCTCTAGCGAGCCACTGGTAGCCAGCGAGCTACTTCACGGAGACCCCTGATCTAGACCGACTGCTGCCGACATCCACCAACGTGGAAGCGCAGACTAACGGCACCCAGCTACCCACCGCTCTCTCAGGGCTTTGGCTCGCTCAACGTTAGATTATCATCTCAATAGTACACTTGGTTAATCCCAGTAAGTAATGCAGATGTTTTACAACAGCACACATGTAAGCCAAAGAAAACCAACAGCCCATAAAAAGATGAGATCAGATAGTTAGTGTGCATGCTGTCACTTTTAGACATGTTTATTTAACCTATCACTATAATTACGGAAATGAAAACATATCTTTTTGGGGGGTAATGCAACCTTTGCAAAGGCAAGCGGGTCATGATATGTCATCATATTCCAACAAAACTTTGGCGTGCATGACCCGGTGGGAACGGAGCCCCCGGCCCCTGGCAGCCTTCTACATATCCAGTTAAACAGGACCACATGTACCGTGTGTGGCTGATGTTATTTTACTGTATCGACTTTAAGCTATTTCTCCTTTCCACGACTCAATGTGTCACTGCGGATTCAGGGTGGAAGTTCCTCACTTTTTAACCTCTGCGCTGAGGACCGGGGGAGTGATAGAACTGGGTCGGGCTCTGGACTGGATCTTGGCCGCTCAGAGCTTAGGGGGCTGGACGGACCGCGGAGTGGCGAGACTCGCCGTAAATCTCTGAATGCTGGGTAGTTGGAAGTGTCAGGAGTTCAGATATAACAGAGAGATGATGTGTGAGGTTTCCTAAGAGCGTCCATACACACTTCCTATTGCATCTTTAGTGGGAGCTGCTTTACGTCTTATCGTCGTATTCCTGCAGACTTGTCTCATCTTCTTCCTACTTCAGTTTACACACACGTTTCACTTCTGACAACATCTAGGTCTATGGTTGGCATAGAATTACCATCGGTGCACACTTCTGCTGAACATGGTCCTACCTGTTCCTGTCTCTCCAGCCAGCGGTCCACCATGGGGTGATTGGCGCTGAGTGACGAGCGGGCCGTCTCTCTCTGAAACTCACTCTGATTGGCCCACGTCCCCGCATCCCGCGGCAGACTGCGGTACGTGTCCATAGCTTTACCCTGCGAAGACACGTTAAAATGTCTGATGCTGTGCAATAGTTCACTTTGGGGGGTTTTATAAACCAGTAAAACCGGGATAATCTGCAACTTTGAAACGATCGGTAAATACTTTTTTTCCCCAAAAACAGATATGTAATAGCCGTTAGAGTATGAATAAAACACCGGTGTGTCACATGTAGTTGAATGTGCACATCCATCAAGATCCATTCATTGTGAAAGAGCCGCCTACCTTCCTCTCGAGGCTGTTGGTGCCGGAGGAGTGGCGAGCTTTCAGGAAGCCGGCCGTGGTGGACCAGCGGCTCGGGTTCTTCCTGGATGGCGGCTCTTCCGTTTTGACCCGCGGCTCACCGCCGCTGAAAGGCCCGTTGATGGTGAGCAGGGCGGGGTCGCTGCTGCGCCGGACGTGGAGGGGCATATCTGAGAGACGGGACAGAGACCGAAAGTTAATATGGATAATCTTCTTCCCCTTACTCTGGGAGGAAATAATATCAGAGCAACTGCTTTTAACTTGTAGAAAAACGCCTTATTGGCAATTTATGTATAGAAAACCATACCACTTGCTATAATTGATGAGACTCAAGACGAATATTTAATATCATGTTTGGGGATGATTGATAAAAATAGGCTGGAACTCATTTTGTTGCTCAAACATTGTGGGCAAATGAAGGCAATTAATCATTGGAGATTCCGTTATCGTCCCTGTTGTGGAGTAATCTGATTTGTCACTAAAAAGTCGAATGAGGCAGCTCCGGTTTCTACTTCACTGCCAGTGAATCACAGAGCAGCAGACAGCGTGTGGGAACAACAACATAGGAGGACAAGCCTATTGAGAAACACACAGTGTGAGTGGATGCCTTCCATTAAAACTCTTCACCGTTTAAAAGTTGCGGTGCGTGGGAAGTGGGCCAAGGTCCAAACAACAACTCCAACGAGGGCAGCGCGCACGCACAAAATAATGATCCCACCACAGCCTGCGCTCGTACACATGACACCATGTTAGGACAAAACTCCCACTTTCAGACCTTTACAAAATCCCACAGGCCCATTTGATTGGCTGAAATGCATCCGGCGGACCACACAAAGGAGATTAAGTGTAGACGGGGAAAAAAAGTGAAATTGTTTAAAAAGCTGAAGCGTCTTCATTAGATGACAATGCCAAGTGTCATGTTCCCATGTTCTCTTTCCAGGATGTTCTGCTGCTCTGACGCGCTCACATGTTTGGGTTGGTGGTGTGTGTTCGTACAGGAAGTACTGTGATCTGTGTGAGTGTGTGTCTGAGTCAACAGTTATTAGACTTGTGTGTATTGTGAGACCGAGTGCATGGCAGGATTAAGTGTGTGTGTCCCTGTTTGTGTGTGTATGTTTTCTGATGAACTAATGAGGGTGAAGGTCAGAGTGCGTGTCTGAACACTTTGTTCAGAGGTACAGTGTGTGTGTGTGTGTGTGTGTGTGTGTGTGAGAGCCTCTCTTAACTGTGTGTAAGATTGTATGTTAGTCTGTATTTCGGGTGCATGCAAACTAGCGGACATGTGTTTGTATTTGGAAATATCTGAGCCAACAGCTACAGTATCTGTTGAGCATCTGGTAATGTGTGTGTGCGTGTGTGTACTCTCATGTACTTTGCTGACTGGTGTTGCCGGGTCAGCCGGAGCGTGGGACATAAACAGCTCTGAGTTCTGGGAGAAGGAGTTCATTGGGGGGGCAGAGTGCAGGCTGTTCTGACAAGTAGTCTCAACACCGCCTCAAACTACAACTCCCAGGAGGCTTCAGGACACGGGACACCTCTTCAGATGAACTCCTGTGTTGATAGAGCGGTGCAGGAATGAGTCCTAAAAGCCAGACATTTCTCTCCCCCCCCAATGAACTCCTTCTCCCAG